ATCAACGCTGAGAACACTCGCATGGTGGAGCTGCAAGCCCAAATTCATGATGAGGTGGAGCGCCTGAAGACAGAGGCCTGGCATATGGGCCTACAACAGAACGCAACAGATGTGGTTCATCAGAGGAGGCACATGAGCCATCTGCCCTCCAATTTTGAGCTCATGCATTTGTTCAACACACCACAAGACACGCCCATTCATTTCCAAATTTTGTTTGCACAAAGACCCGCATGGCTCCTTTAAAGAGTGATCGATAAGTTGAAGCCAAGGTATAGAATCCTCCCACATGCCACTTCCAAAGCAGAATATCTGGACAATCTAGGATGAGCTGAATGGAAAGCATGACTTCCCAAAGCCTAATCACTTGCTCCAAGCCATCCGTTGAGAGAACTCTGACAATATCAGTGGCCCAACGGTGTTTCAACATATCGTCCCTAACCGATCTTCGATTGATTGTCTAAGTCCTCACCTCCTAAAAAACAATCGACACAATATCCACACCCACTAGCACCATTTAGCCATCTGTCTCTCTAGAATAATATACGGTCCCTAACGCCCCCTTGTCAATGTACGAGGGTTGTTGACAGCACTCTGAACCAGTTGATCAGAGGAGGGAGACAAGTCTTGCCAAGGCCAGGAATCAGTTGTACGCTTAAGCCATTCCCAACGAAGCAAGGCAAGACCATGGCCCTTGAGGTTGATTACCCGATCCCTCCTAGCCGTTTTGGCTGGCAAACCCGCTACCAAGCCACAAAACACTTCCCAACATGGTTGTCCTTTGTTCTTGCCCAGAAGAAGGCCATGCAACCTTTATGAACATGACCGAAAGCCCATTTGGGGGTGTCTTCCACCAACCACTGATGATTAGCTAGTTCTAGCTATAATAACATTGTTAACCAAGATCAACCGGACAACTCAAGTAATTAGGCATTTTTGCGAGCCCGGCATTAAGCTAAGAACACTGTCCACAATAGGCTGCTACTTTGAGTGAGTTAGTTGCCAGATTGATGATTGAAGGCCTAAGTACCAGCATGCCACAGGGAAGCTTTCCATCCTCCTTCGAAGGGTCGACACCACAAGCTCCTTACCCCCACCTCCTCACAGATGGTAATAGTAGACGACTTCACGAAGTTGACTTGAAGACTCATGGCAGTGTCGAAAATTCTAAGGGATTCTTGGACAAACAATGTATCCATAGCAGATAGTCTGATGAAGAGGTCCACATTGTTCGCATAGATGGATACATGATGCAGTGGAGAGCAACTCGACAGGGCACTAATAACCCCAAGCTCATGTGCTCCAATGATCAAAGCAGTGAGGACGTCCATCACTATCACGAATAACAACGGCGACAATGGAACTCCGTGACGCAATCCGCGCGCGTGCATAACTTTTTTCCCTGCAAAACCATAGGCACCCCAATGCTCGTCGTTGTGAGCAAGGTGGCAATCGAACATCTTCGTCTCTCCGAGAACCCTTTTGCACGCATCACTTCAAACAAGAAGGACCAAGAGAGCGAATCAAACGCTCGTGAGATATCCAGCTTCAGCAATACACCCTTGGCCTTGTGATGCTGTAACTTTTGTGCCACCTGCCAAACTAGCATAAAATTTTCATGGATATATGTTATACCCGCCCTTAATGAAAGCCGACCGGATTATATGCACTAGCTCTTCCATGCGCACAGTAAGCCTGACAACAAGAAGTTTGGAGCACATCTTGTGGATATCATGCACTAACCTAATCGGACGGAAATCTCCGATGAGGCATGCATTCGGCTTTTTCGAGTTCAACATGATTAGTGCCTGATTAAGCCTGACAAAAACCTCGCCCATTGTCCAAGAACAGTTTGTGGATTGCAGCCACAACATCAGCTTTGATCACAAGAGCCCAAGCCTTTTAACAGTCTTGCAACGTCGTACAACCTAAATCAAGATGAAACTTAAGAATCCAAGGGGTTATAAACTACAACCTCCATAACTAAATATAAGACGTTTTTGCAGTTGAAAGTTGTTTTTGAAGTATTAAGTTGTTTCTAAAGTTCCTAAGTATCTATTGATTTATTTCAGAAGTTCAAATCATATGGACACTTTACTACACCCTCCGTTCATTTTTATAAGTCGTTTCAGACAACTAAAATTGAGCTATTTTATACACTGTCTGAAATGCTACAACACCTTAGAGCAACTCCAACGGGGTGACCCAAACGGACGCGCGCTTTGTCCGCTTTTTGTCCGTTTGGGTCGGCTAGGCAGACGCTGGCGTCCGCATTTTAAAATGGATCGGCTTGACCGTCCAATGGGGAGGCCGACCCAAATGTACCGGCGTGAAAAAAACAAGTTGCGCGAAATAAACATAATTAAACATAAAAGTGGCCGGTCAAACGCCGGCCAAAGTCCACCTAGATCTAATAAACATTAAAAAAAGTCTGTGCCCGCCTGCTGCCGCCCCGCACGCTGCCCTAGACGTTGTCGGCCTTGCCCTCGACGCCGCCGTCGCCGGTGAGGTCGATGAAGACTGGAGCAGGGCCAGCCCACCCGAACGCCGCCTGGTACGCTGCCAGGGCAGCCTCCTCCGGCGTCTGCTGGGGCGATGGCATTGCGGCAAGCCGCGCGCGCTCCTCCTCCTCCTCCTCGAGCCGGAGCGCCTCCACGTCGCGTTGGAGCATGGCCTTGTAGCGCATCTGCTCCTCGCCGTCGGCCTGCTTCTGGAGCCAGTGCTCCTTCCATCGCTCGAGGTGGGCCGTCTCTTCCTCCGGCGTCGCGGCGAAGTGGACGGGAGGCGCGCTCACCCACTCACGGTAGTGGCCGTCCACAAGTAGGTCTCCTCCGGCCAAGTGGGTGGAGGCGGGGAGCGCTTACGCGACGGCTCCGGCTCCAGCTTGGACTGTACGGGTGGCGACGGCGGAGGCGGCGGCACGAAGAACGGGGTGTGGACGGAGTTCCCGCCGCCGACAGGTCAAGGGCTTGCTCCAGCCCATCCCAGTGCGCGTCCTCCTCGATGCGGCTAGCCTCCAGCGCGTGCTGCAGGGCCTCCTCGAGGGCGGCTTGGTACTCCGCCTCCGCCTCCATGTCCTCGGGCTCTACCTGCGGGGCGGCGGTGGGAACGACGGCGGGACGACGTCGACACCCGAGCGCCGTTGCTCCTCGTGTTCGAGGGCGAACCAAGCCTCCCAGTTAGGAGAGTCGGCAGCGTGCTCGGGCGGCCGACACTGCTCCGGCGTGAGCAGCGTGCGGCGCCGGCGCACCTCGTCGTCGTGCGCCCGCTGGGTCCGCGGAACCGCCGGCACCGGGATCCGGTTTGGATCCAAATGCCAATGGTGCGGCAGCGTCAGGTCGGGGTAGGGGAGGGGCTGCCTGTACTACCAGTGCCACTGCGCTTGATGCGCCGGGATGTGCAGGCGCCAGCGTCCAGGGCGGAAACGCGTCGGCGGTGGAGGGGAAGGGGGAGCACGGGATGACGAGGCGCCGGGGGTGCCCTTCCCCTTGCCATTGCTTTTGCCGAAGAGGCCCATGGCGCGCGCTAGGGTTTGCGGTCGCCGACGAGGAAGCAAAGGAAGTGGTGAGGGGCCAGATGTGGACGGGAGAAGCGGATGAGGCCGACCCCCCCCCCCCACACACGCGTGGTTAAAAAAAGGACGCGCGCACTAGCTGACGCGTGGGCCTGCTATCAGTGGTCGTCATAAATAAGACGATCGGTGGCGGTTGGGTGGCCGCCAGGTGGGGACGCGCCGGACGGCGAGGAGACGCGCGGCGCGTCCGTCTCGCGTCCGCGCCAACGCATTTCAAGCGTAATTTTGGGCCGGAAATGGGTCAGCACGGACACCGGGCAGACACGATTTGAGTTTGGGTCGGCGCGTTGCGTCACTTTTGTTCGCGCCGACCTAAACGGACGCGGGCGGACGAAATGGGTTATTTCATTGAAGTTGTTCTCATAAAAGTGAACAGAGGGAGTAGTAAAATCTGGAACAGGAGTTCAAACACATCTTCCCTCTGTCGTCTTCTGTGCTTCAACCGGAGAAGGCTGGATGGGACTCGACCTTTTGGCTAAAGCTGTCAGAGCCGCCTGGACCGAGTCCATGTGTACCAACCAAAACCCCCTTCCTCCTTTCCCCACCGTCTTCGCTCACGGGCAGAAGCACAAACAGCGTCACCGACTCCTCCAGAAGCAGAATGCCCCTCCTGCTCCGACGCCTCGCCGGCGCCATCACCGGCGCGGCCCCCCTCCGCCGCCCCCTCTGCACGGCGGCCCCGCGCCCTCCCTGGGCCATGGTGAACAGCCAGGCCGCGCTGGACGCGTCAGGGGCGCCGTCGCGGGGCGCGCGCGCGCTCGTCGACCTCGACACCACCCCCTGCGTCTCCCGCCTCTCCGTCCCCGCTCGCCTCGTCGACCCCCACGGCGACATGGGTCCCCTCGTGGGCATCGTCCGCAGCGCCAGCCGCGACGGTCTCCTCCTCCTCGACTTCGTCGACGCCCGCCCCCGCCCCCGCCCCATATGGCCACACGAACTCGCCGCGGACCGCGGCGGCGTGGAACCGGACGCCAAGCTCTTCATCTGCAACCCACTCAGCGGCCAGCTGGTCCGCCTCCCGGCCCCCGGCATGGATGTCCCCAAGATGAGCACCTCCTTCGGCCTGCTCACCCAATCCCAAGGCTCCCACGGCCCGCCTGATAGGTACGCCGTCGCTCAGCTCAGCAAAAGCAGTCGCGGGGGAGGGGAGTGCCGCAGGGTCGTGCGCCGGTTTCTGTCCGAGACAGGGGAGTGGGACGAGCGGCCGCTGGTCGGGGTGGCCGAGATGGACACTGCGCGGAGCATGCTGATCAACCATGAGGTGCTGGCGTTCGGCGACCGGCTGTGGTGGGTGGACGTGGCCTGGGGCGCCTGCTCCGTCGACCCCTTCAGCGACCGGCCGGACCGCCGCTTCGCCTAGCTGCCGCGCTGCAGCGTGCTGCCTGCTTCCGATTCCCCGTTGCTTCCGACGCTGAGCAGGTACCGGCACATGGGGGTCAGCGACGGGAAGCTGCGCTACGTCCAAGTGTCCAACAGAGACGACAGGTCCAGCGTGATCCTTTCCTTCTCGCTGGATGACGAGACCTACAGCTGGGCGCTGGATCATTCAGCTCAAATTACAGATCGGCGCGACCGCTGCCATGTTCAGATTGCTGCCATAAATCCATTCAAAGCCAACCTTGTGTACCTCCAGCATGGTGGCACTGTCATTGCCATGGACCTGGCTAACAAAAAGGAGATCTGGAGGAGTTCCCTTCCACAAGAAATCTTCTTTGAAAATTTGCTCCGCGGTAGTTCTCTTGTTCCGTGCGCGCTCCCAACATGGCTTGCCACAAGCCAGATCCCCTCTTCTGCAGGTACATATAAGCTTCATACACTTGATACCGAATCATCCAATCCAAAGTTTACTGTCCTATAATTGTTAGATTGCTCAGGATTTAGTTTGTTAATTTGCACAAATTGCGTTTGTATTGAAGATTCTGAAGGATTTGACGATATCTCACACATTGTGGTTTAATAATTGCACATACACTTATACTTTTCTGAATTATAAATTGGCCATTGTTACCAGTGTTTTTAACCTTTTTAGGATATCAGAGGTGGAATTTGGCATCGCCAGAGAATCTGATGTATTTTATTGATTGCATTGGTCATGAGATTGTCTATCATGTAAAAAAATGGTTTTGCCGATCTAATTGATGTCAGCATATAGACATGCAATTGTCCTGTTGAATGACTAAATGTTGTTCCGATTCAAGTCCTGATGCAACGATGAAACATATACTGCTCTTGTTGCTCTGTGTCATTTTTATTTAAGTTCTTGTATCTATTAATTGAAGGAACCATTTCAACAAGCAACAAGGCCGATTGCAAAAAGAAGACTTTGGCAGACATGCCGGTTCGCGTAGACAGCTAACTTATCTCCGGTACACTCTCTTAAGTAACTCTTTCTTGTTTGGGTACCCTTCTTGATTCGTTTGATATCTTGTCATATCTTGTTCCTTCTTGTCGCATGATTCTGCATTTCTCCTACACTGCCCATAAAATGTGTTACTTGCACAAGCAACAAAGTTTTGGTAATGTTTCGAAATCACTATGTTTAATAATTATACTCCACCATTGTTATCCTTAGATCCAACTTGTCAGGATTGTATGCACAAACTTTGGCTAATTACAGGACAGGGCACTTCCTTTCCTACAATCATGCTGCACTTTTAGATGAACAAAAATTTGATGCTTGAATATGTTGGGACTAGCTAAGCAATGAACCGGTAGCACGGCGACTGTTTTGGCTTCTACTTCTTCTTGACTCTTATAATCGCCGGTACTGTCTATAGTGCTGGACTGCTACACAGAGTAGTATTACCTTGTCTGAACTACTTCATTATCCGGTCTGACTTATCCCAGACATAAAATTAGGACAAGGCTAAAATATGGCTGCCTTTTCACCATGATAAATATGTCTTTCACTAGTCGATGTCCTGAAATGTTATCAACAAATCATGACTGAACTGAAGCATGGTGCTTGCTATTTCTTACCAAATTACCATACTGTATAAGTGTATATTGACCTATGACCAAATTTGCAATGCTATCTAGTAGTCCTTCAACAGAAGTGTTCCCCAAGTATGTCAAGTTGGGCTTATTTTTTGGGCTGATGCAATTCTCTTTGAAAAGGACGGATGTTCTTAAATATTTCGGACAAGTGTAGGTGCACACCTATCAGAAATCCAACGATACTTGAGAGTTGCAAGGGATCATGCTTTTGTTCTTTGTAAAATGTTAATGCCCTGAAGTGTTTAGTTCTGACATGTTTCGCTTTGTATTCATCAAATCTGAGATATACTTGATTGCATATTTGCATGCTGATGATGATAAATCTATGAATTCTCTTTATGTTGCTAGATGTTTCTGCATAACTAAAAAACGGACCTCTCACTGGCATATATGTTAATTTGAAATAGGTTATCAGGTATGTGTTGTAGAGCATACCATTTTCGTCGAAAAATCGGTCATATCCAATGTAAACCAGAATTCATGTTAGAACTATTGTAGAATGCGTGTATTTTAGATTGAATAACTGAAATATTCATTAGAAATAATGGATCCAAAGTTGATGCTATTATATTGATGGTGATGATTTTGTAGGAGAAACAGTCGGTGATCTACCTAGTGTGAAAATTGTGTTAATAAGTCTTGATGCAGAGATAAACTACAAACAACCTAAGAACTACAAAGCTGGCAAACTAGCTTGCAGTCTGCAGATAGCATCTCATTTTTTGTAATTGCTCAAAAGCAGTATTAACTGGAATCTGTTTGTGCTGTTGTGTACTTCTGACTCATGTTTATGTTTACGTGTGTTTATATTGAGCCCAAGAAGAAATTAAAGGAACAAAAATCTTTTGTTTATGTCAGGTGTTCTCTCCATGCCAGTATTTTGATGTCTCTAGAATGTAAAAAATTTCAGAATCATGACAAAGACTCGACTGAGACTCATGTTTATATTTTGGTTTGCAGGTTACTCCAAATTGTCAGATCAGAGTTATTTTGGAGGATTAGGAAACTAATGGTGGTACTTTACTGAAATCTCATTTTGGGGGGAATTCCTTGAGAAGTTTGGGTATATTAGGATTTGCTGATGCACTTCCTCAATCACAGTTTGGGCAAAAAACTGTAGCGAGAAGTTTGTCATATTTTGGCTTTACTTGTGCGCTGTTGAATTCAGTACAATGGTTGATCCCTTCGTCAATTCGACATGTAACAGAAGTCAAGATAACATGACGCAACGTGCCCTCTTAACTTCGAACGAATTAATTTCTTTTGGAAGTTAGTAGAATTCTGGATCATTATGCCTAGACTGATCTGGAATTTGAAATCTTGTTTTAACTTGAGAATGCTTACTTTGAACTGAATGAATGGGCGGGGCTTGTAAGCTTAAACCAATGTGCTCTGGCATTGTTATGGAATGATGATTGGAGTCTGGGGATAAGCTTCACCCTGGGCATTGGCATGTACCTCAATTGGTATTTTGGAGTGGTTTAAATATGTTGTGAACTGTGGCTGTTCTTGGAGTGTGCATGCCAGTTTTTTTTCCTTTTCAGTGAGAATGCCTTGAGGACGAGCTGCAGAGATGGTACATGTCGACTGTACATGCTTTAGGATGAAAATCCTGCTTTAACATTCCGATTTTGTTTTCTACAGAATCGCAGTTTGGCGAATTGATTTTCCAATATGTTCAACTAGAGATTCTGATGATCCGCAAGTCAAAACTCTTGGTGTTTTTTTTTCTTTCCTTTTTATACTTGCCCAACTGAAAAATCATAGAGTGGGCGATGACGGAGTAATTCACTTTCTAGGCTACGCAGGACGGATAAAATCCGCATGTAAATATGGCTTGTATGTGTGGACTTGGGGTGTCTTCTCCTTTCTTTAATGAATGATATGAACACTCGTGCGTATTCGAGAAAAAAAAAATAGCAGTGGGCAAACTCCTTTTTCTCCTGGCCTAGAAAATTTTGATGGTAAATGATGAGGGTGCCTAGTGTCGATAGAAAGTCATACGTTTGTATCCTGGTGACATGTATTACCGTATTTTCCGTATATGCGTCGGCCAGGGGACCCCTACTTGAGCGACCGACCTAGCAAGGTTTTGCTATCCCACATTTGTCGAGAGGAACACGTATTCAACGTGGCGAACCTGATCGACTCAGAGAAGAAGAAAATGAAAGGCGCATCATGGCAAAATTGACTTAGAGAAGAATGGATTTAGAGAAGAATGAAAGAAAAGGCTCATATGGGAAGTAACCATGCACATCTTGGATCCCACCAACACATACGTGGATTGCGAGACTATCTCCGCCCTTAGCCCGAGGGCACTACTCACGTGTCGCAATCGCCATGAACATAAGAGACATTGTACAATGGTCTTTAAGCTGAAGTTAAAAACTATTCTTACAATCTCGTGAATTATGGTGGAATCTTGGTGCACCAGGGTTAGCCTAATGGTGAGTAATTATGGAGATGAAGGATAATGTGGCGGCGGTTGTGGAGGAGTGGGTGACGAATGGATCTCGACCTTGTTGTCTGTGAACTTGCTCGTGCATTTCTCCCCTGAATATCGCTAGTGCTCTCGATTACGGCTGGGGACGGGGGCTGTTACCAATCCGGAGGCTTGAACCTAGGTAAAATCACTATGTCATCTTCATCGCCGACGAGATTCCTTCCGATACCACCCTTCTCTGTACAATAGTTCACGACTACATATAGCTCGTAAGATCAGCGGAGAATTATTCATCAACACAAAAGGGTGTCTACTAACTTATCCTAGAGCCTAGACATTTGAATAATTGTCCTAAAAAATTATTTCCAAGATTTTTTATGAGGTTTTCATCCACATTTAGTTTGGTTGGTTTCTATTCCAATTTTTAGTTTGAAAAAACTTATCTAGGAGTTGGGGTTGATATATTTACCGGTGGTCATGAATAGGATAAGAAAGGTTGGGTTAAAATTTGGACCCTGATATCCTCCACACATTCGGGTGGGGAGAGCATCGCCCACACGTGTGGTACTAGCGATCAACCCACCGAACAAGTTGTTCGGTACCAGCAATCAACCCACTGAACAAGTTGTTCGGTAGGGAAACACCACAGCCCAAACGCTCTACCCATCAGCCCCTAGAGGCCTTTTCCCTGTAAAAATAAAGCCCAGTAAAAGAAAAGCCCAGATTTATACTACACTTGCCATTGTCCACAAAAATAAAAAAAACTGGGCTTTATTAGTCACAACAAAATCTGGGCTTTATAAAAATAATTTTTTCATATTTTACCATGGCAAAAAAAACTACATTTGCTATTGTCTAGAAAAAGTAAATTTGCCGTGGCAGAAAAAAATAGAAAGTAGAAATTTGCCATTAGCGTTTAAAAATAAAAATGTCGTGTATGTTATAGTAAAAATGTCATTGCAATACAGGAAGATTAGCCATGCCGGGAAATGAAGGTAAATATGTCGTGGGATTTTTTTGCCATGGATGAAAAACAAATGAAATTTGATATGGTTCAGAAAAAGTGAAAAAATGCCATGTTGTCTGAACTACATTTGTCTGATCCATAAAACTAAAAAGTGCCAGGCGCACAGAGAAAAGAGGTATTTTTGCCTTGTTGCGAAGAAATAAGCTCACCGTGGTGTAAGAAGAAGATATAAAGAAAGTGTCATAAGCTCATGGCAAAACAGGAGTAGTAATTGCCATGGCAATTTTGTAGTCTATGAAAAATTGGGTGAAGATTGCCATGGTCCATTAAAGAAAAAGTTTGCCATAGCCCATAATACAACCAATTTTTTTTTACCATGGTCCATCAAGTGAAAATTGGCCATGGTATAAGAAGAAAAAAGTTTGCCATTATCCCAAGAAAAATCGCCATGGTCCATAACATGAAATTGCCGTGGTGCATACAACAATTTTGACATCATCTTGAAAAAACAAAACTTGCCATGGGCATAGTGAATTTGCCGTGGGACATCTAGTGAATTTGCCACGGAAAATTCACTAACAATGTTTTGACATCATTGAGAAAGAAGAAACTTGCCATGGGAATTAATGTGAATTTGCCATGGGGCATCTAATTAATTTGCCATGGCAAAAATTGAAAAAAGTTTGACATCATCTTGAAAAAACAAAAAACTTGCCATGGGCATTAAAGTGAATTTGTCGTGGGACATCTAGTGAATTTGCCATGGCAAATCACTGAAAATAGTTTGACATCATCTTGAAAAAACAAAAAACTTGCCATGGGCATTAAAGTGAATTTGCAGTGGGACATCTAGTGAATTTTCCATGGCAAATCACTAACAAGTTTTTGACATCATCGAGAAAAAATAAACTTGCCATGGGCATTAAAGTGAATTTGTCGTGGGCATTAA